CGCCCATCCTTCTCCACTTCCATAGTGAATTGAATTTTAGGGTTTATTGAGTTGAGGTGGAAGTCTTCCAGTTCAGTCAGACCATGGCCCCAAACAACAAAAGTGTCATCCACACAGCGGAACCAGCACTTAGGTTTCCTCATGGCGGTGTCCAGAGCGTTCTTTTCAAATTTTTCCATAAAATAGTTGGCTACCATTGGACTAAGAGGAGGACAAACAAAGTTGTGGACGAAACGTCAGGAAGAAATTCCGATAGACCACGGCATCAAAGCCCGGAAAACATTCCTAAATGTTCTTTAGTTTGTTTTGAAACTAACAAATTAGTGGATTGTGGTGCGATGCAACGTCTGCGTAGAACCGCATTTAAGTTAGAATATTGACCAGGGATAAGTATGTTTCTCTACTCTACACCTATGGAGATAGATTGAATATTTAATTTGCAAAATCTCCCAAAACACCTCATCTAAATATCTAACTCTTGATATGTGGGTATACGCTTTAAGCTGTAAGGTTTTCACCAATCCACCAAACCATCTCTAGTTTTGACAACTTTTAGTTCTTTGACGGACAAACAAATTAAACTTGTGTTGGGGGGTGAGCCTCGTTCAGAAAAAAACATTAAATCTTTAAAGCTGGGCGTATCTCCCTTTTTATGGTTTTTTAATTTTTGCAAACTTTTGTTTATAAGCATTTAGCAAACGAGGCATTATTTAATGAAATCCGTGACATGAAAACAAATAATTATAGAGAATCTGAAGTGGGTGTACTTTTAAAAATGAAAACATTATGATTTTATATATCGTGATATATCATAGCGTGACTTCGTACAAAACAACGTTTTTCATGGTACACTTGCAGTTTCAGTCGCAACCTCATACCGCCGTGATTGTTTAATCTTGCCATATGGAATATCTTATAAAATTACTAACCCAATCTATCAAAAACTCACATATGGACTAAAAGGAAGCAACTCAACCTACAATATCAGAAAATATACTGGCTGATTGGCAAAGGATCGAAACTCACTAGAAAATAAAATACTTGTCTATAAAACAATCATTAAACCCGTCTGGACATACGGAATTCAACTGTAGGGTTCAGCATCCAACTCTAATATTGCAATTTTGGAGAGATTACAAGCAAAGATGCTAAGAAATATGGCAAATGCACCATGGTTTATCCCAAATGAGATCATCCGAAAAGATCTTATCATCCCAACAGTTAAAGAGGAAATCAGTACATTCAGTGCCAAATACAAAGACAGGATAAGTGCACAACCAAATCAATTGACAACTAACTTGATGACCATCCAACCTGAAATACGAAGAGATTTGAACTTCCAGATTTGATTAGAAGATTTAGATTGTAATGCATTCTCGTGATGTGCAGACAAATTAACTTGCCCTGAACATTCATTGAATTAAGGCTATAAGGGTGTATGTCACTGGGTGTAGATCTAAATATGCTGTTCTCTGTTGTGAGAAAATGACATAGGATTTACTTATTGTTTAGCGGACAGATTGTAAATGTACTGGGTAAAAAAAAATTTTTTTTTAAATTTATCAATCAGAATGGTAATAAATTTTACGTTTTTTGGGTCGCGGAATCCAAATCCGGTGTTCATCTAACCTCATGTTCGCTTTCGACGTTTGAACAGTGAACAAGTGATTCGTTCGCTCTCTTATCGTGAATAAAATTGATATTAAAGGATATCATCCTCGGCGAGTGGTGTCCGGCGACCGTGCCTAGGTCGTTTAAGTTATCGCGAGATATTTAAAAAAAAACATTGATAAAGGGAATGTATTTTATTAGTCCCCAGCAATGCAAACAAGCCAGATATTATTAGAAAAATATCAACGTACCCAAAATGAGGAAATTTTATACAATAGCTGGAAATCAGCTGAGCAAGAAAAAATGAATGCTACATACAAGGTGGAACAACTACAATCCCAGTTGGACAAAATACATAAAATGTATGAAGAATTGAACACAACATATTCAAATATAGAAAAGAAACTGCCTAGCAACGCCGAAGAAAGGGGGACAGGTGAATACCATACCTATGAAGAGGAGCTGGCAAGAGAGACAGAATCGATTCGTACAAAAAATTGGAAAAAAAGGAAAATGGATACTTCGCTTACACCACCACAACAACAAACCAATAGGCCGAATATAGAAAAGCCTAAAAAAATTCAAGCACCGCCGCCTATCATAGTGGACAATATTATAAATTTAAATGATCTCCATGCTATTGTGACCCAACTTCCTGGTGCCCAGATTAAAGTAATTCATGATAAAAATATTAAAATTAATGTACAGGATGAGACCAACTATAAAATGCTTACTGCAACGCTAACTGAAAAAGGATACTCTTGGCATTTCTATAAGAATAAGCAGAATAGGCCAATTAAAGTTATGGCCAAAAAACTGTATCATTCCATTGATCCAGAAAAAATACTGCATGAAGTTAGAAAACGCGGCTACAAACTAATCGAAGTTACTCATAAATTAAAATATAAAACAAAACAACCTCTAAACATGTTCATGCTTTCATTCAGGCATGACGAGAGTATTGATAAAATTTACGGAATAACTGACATATTAGGGGTCAGAGTTGAAATCACTCCATTAATAAAGTCCAGGCTTGTACCA